ATGCTGCCCAAGAGAAGGAAGGAGAGTTCTCACCCCGGGGAGCCTCTCTCCCCGACAGCAGCTCTGGGGCGGGTGGCGGGAGCCCCTTACCTGCAGCATTGCCGGAGGGGGGCCAGGATGGACAGTTCATCGCGTGAGTGCGTGCCAAAGCTGGGGGGAGAAGCCCGCCGGCCGGCGTCAGGGCAGCATCGCCCCGCAGCTCAGAGCCCAATGCAGGGCATGTTTTGGCAGGACCCGCGGTCTCCCCTCACCCCTTTGCCAAGATTGTTTCCCCTCCATCCCGCTTTACCCGCGACCATTGTCCAGGTGGAGCAGGAAAGTGTCGTTCCCAAATTTCTCGAAGGTCTCGTAGTGGTGCCGGTCCATGTTGCCTGCGGTGGGGCAACAAATTTGCCATCGGGTGGTGGGCTGGGAGGCGGGAGCAGGGACATGGAGCACCCTCCTGGTGTGAGACCGAAACCCAGAGGCTGGGGAAAAGGGCTGGGGGCACCTCTAAGTTGCCTGTCTGGTGGCTGTGGCCATGGGGGGGACTTGGGGGGGACCTGAGCAGAGCCCCTGGGGCCTCCAGGCCCCTTCTTATCCCGGCAGCCCCATGGAGGGACAGCAGTGGCAAACGGAGCAGAAGTAACGGCAAAGGCACGGCTGCGGCAGCCCCGGGGGGGGGGGAGGGGAGGACCCCCAGGCCGGACAGCGCAAGGAGGAAGGAGCGGCCTTGGGGACAGGAGAGGCAGCATGAGCCCCGGGGAACATCGCCGCCCGCCCCAGCTCCTGGGGGATGCACATCCCAGCTTTGCTGGGAGGCGCTTCCCATGCCTGGGGTGTTCAGCTGGGATCTCCCTGGCATCTCTCGTCCTTTGGCTTCTGCCTGGGATGTGTCCTAATGGCACAGCCCTTTGCTCTCATTTTGGGTAAGAGCGCAGCTCTCTGCAGCCTGAGCAGTGGTTTGGCCAACAAACCTTGCAGGGCACGACACTGCAGGGCATGGAGCTGTTTGGGCCTCTCGGTCCCGAGGGGCCCCTGCCACCCCCAGTGCTGGCACAGTGGGGCTCACCCATAAGGAAATCGAGAACCGTCATGTCAATGAGGTCGAGGAGGCGATGGCCCCTGTCATAGGGTGGTGTCTCTCGCACCTGAGCGCAGTAGTTGGGGTTCAGCTCCCACCTGTGGGCAGAGGCCAGGGGGGGGGA